CAGCAGCAGCAGTAGTAGCAGTGCAGGGGCAGTCGAAGTGGCAGTAGCCTGAGGTGCTGTTCCTGTCCCTATACAAGTGCCCAGGTGGTGCGAAGCAAAGTGCTTCTGAGGACAAGACTGTGGAGCCGCGGCTCAACGCAGGGAGCCAAGACAACTTAAACTACCAAGTGCGAGAGTTCCGATCGACGCGAGTAGGCTTGCGCCCAGAGCCCTGAGCCTTCTTTGGACCAGAGGCCGGCTGCCAGTTGGCCGGTGCGTTGTCCGGTATCGCAGAAACCCTTGCGGTGGAGAACCAGCACCTCGACACTCTTTAAAGCAATGCCTTGAAGAGCCAGGAAACATGTGACTCGATTTGTTGTTTTACTTAGATCTTGTTCAGGGGATGTAGTGAGATTCGAGCAGTTGTTGGTCATAATAGGGTTTGATGGTTCTTTGCAGGTTCTACTGTGTTTCACAAGGGCTTTAGAACTTTAGGGTTTAGGGCTACGAAGGTGTCTGCGAGAATGAGGGATGTGGGGTTTAGGGTTTCGGGGAAGAAGTTGTAGGTTAACTCAAGCAGAGATTGTTCTCTTCAGTTCTTTCTTGCCGGCATCTTTAATTCACGCCAGAACGAAGAAGTTGTGAAGATTTCGGTCTGTCTGGGGTGTGGGATTCTTGGTCCCGAAGCTTGAAAGTCTTGAGGAATCCAAAGGAATTTGGGATTTTGGGTTTGGGGCTTAGTGTGTTCAGAGCTCACGTTTTTACGGCCTTGCTGCTTTAAGCTTTGGAGACTCCCGAGACAAGACCTTGGCAGCTTATCCGCAATCCCTTGAGCTCGTGAAGCCCGCGCTGCAAACCCTAAGTCCTACATGTATCCTACGCCATCACATCTATCCCTTTAAAACCTCAAGCCTAACACCCTAAACGCCAAGCCCTGAAACAAGAACCTCAAACTCGAAGTGCATATCCGATTTCACCCCGCTTCAGAATTTTGTGAACACCGAGAAAATGCTTCATTCAAACTCCTTTACAACTCTTGCAAAGGCCTTAGGGAACAACCCTCAGACAACTGTATAAACACCGTTGTAGCAACTCCTATGAAGCAGTCAAGTCCGTAGCAATACACTTTAAACAGGTCCCATCAGAGTACTTCTTAAAAATCTCAGTCCGAACCCCTAGAAAATAGAAAATCATGTCGCATCTCTCAAGGCAGATTGCGTCAAAACCCTAACCCCAAACCTTAAACACCAAAAACAAAACCCTAAACCCTCAACCCTACAATCACCGACTCACTCCGAGCTCAGAGCAGACGTCAAAGGCTAAAAGCTACAGAGAGCGGCCAGGCAGCAAGGACATCAGCCTTGCACGCTGAGACCAAAAGAACAACAGAAAAAGGGGGCGGGGGGGCAAACAACAAAACAGGTGCCCTCGTTCGCAGGGAGGCAGAAGGAGCAGCCAAGGCCAAGAGAGGCAGCAAACTGTAATAGACTATAATATGCCATAATACACTAGCCAGTATCAAGGCTTCCATTCATGCTCGACTCCTCGACCCGGTCACGGACCAACGATGCGGGGCCGAGAACCTTCGGCCGGCAAAACGGGGGGGAGCCCCGTATGAGGTGTCAGGAAGTCCAGGTAAGGTGCCAGGCCACCATGGGCCATGCGATCAGCAATGTGTCGCCAGGAGAGTAGGGGCGTCGCAAAGAGGAGACGGTTGGCGGCAGCTACCTCTCGAGAGGGGACAGGCAAGTGGGCTGCCTCCCGCCGTCGAAAGCCAGTAAGTCTCCAGACAGGCGGCGAACAGGTGATGCTCAGCAAGGGCCAGCATGAGCTTCCAGCACGGATACCAGGTGACTGGAATGCACCAACTCACCCTCTTTACAAGGACGGTTTTCAGCAGCTGGACGTGGTGGCATTGATGGGTCCCTGAACTCGACGAGGAGGGCGACTAATGTGGCCCTGCGCCCGTGTGCGCCAAGACCCGGACCCATAGAGGTCATATAGGTACATCACGCCAACAATGCAACACAGTCCATGCTCACACAAGCCTCAACCCTAAACCTTAAATCCCGGAGTCAAAATGAGCGGATACCAGCGAAAGGCGCTCCGTTGAGCGCTTTGGGGCGCAGCTTCAGCTCAGGCCGCTTCTTAGGATACCTTTAGTGTTCTTAAGAGTTATTTGTTATTTCTTATAACAAAGCTCCAATGACATGGTTAAGCCGCTTAGCCTTTGAGGCTTAGGATTCGGTATGGCATGAGCTCGTGCAGAATGATTGTATATCTGTACTGTTCATGTGATGAAGTATATGATATGATACGTTGTTGCATATAGCAAACAGTACATCGTAGGTCAGGGTGAAGTACAGTGTTACAGTATTCTGCAACCGTATGTTACGTACATACGAAGCATGTCTCTTACCGGTTAGAAAGTCCACATGACGTGCAATGCATTTCGGTGGCCATTGCTGGGTTTAGCTCGGGGTTCGGGGTGCCTTTGGTTTAGGGCGAGCCTGGTTTGGGCCGGGAGTTGGCTTGAGGAGCCACTATGCGTTATTTTGGAGCTTGAAATTTCTTGTCGCCTGTGTTCGGGCTTGCTGCTGTGTACAGGTTGCAGCTGCCTTGACTCAGTTTCTCATATTCATGAACTTGGGATTCGCATCTGCAAATGCAAGTAGGCTGCAAGATGTCAGACGCCTGCCGACCCATGTTTCGTGGTTTGAAAGCCAGCTCATGTCCTTGAAAGCCTCGCCCGATGGTTCGGCATCCTTCTTTTTGCCCCTTTATTCAAAAGAGCATGGTGTTCATCTGGGGGACTGAAAGAGATTGAAAATCAGCCTAGCAATTAGCCAGCTTTGCGATTTACGGGGCTTGCATCCTAGACCGCCTCTGTCGGTACCCCTTTCACGACTCCATCCTGGCCCAATGACGACTTCCGTGCAGTTGGGCTACCCACAACCGCCACAATGTTCTTGAAACCCTGGCATCTTACCCAGCCCCGCAACAGCCCTAGTTGTAGCGGTGGCCTCCAAGCATCCATGCACATTGGCGCAACGGATGTCCATTGCCCGGGGTCTTCTATCCACACATTTCACAGCCTCGACTCTAACCATCCCTAACCTAATCCCAAAACCTCGAAACTCATAAGCTCCGAAGCTCAAAGCCCCAAGAGCGCTGCCCAAGAAAAATGACGGACGGCCCAAGACCAAAGGTTTCAAGATCCTTGACCCTGGAGACCAATATAGGGGCCTAAATAATTACCTATACTATTTTGGGGTTCAGTTCCTTATTCTAAGTATAGTACAATGGGCCCCAAAACACTATTCTAATTGTTAAGGCCCCTATGTTAGACCCCTAAACGTTTAGACCCCCTGCCTTACCCCGAACGAACCATAGACCTAGACTTCAATTCAAACCAACCTAATACTATAGGGGCCTTAATAATTAGAATAGGGATTACACATATTTCGCAGGCGTGCCGAACTCCTCTCGGCTCTGCGTGAGCACCTGGCGGCGGAGGAGGGTCGGCAAGGGGCCTGGAAGGATTAAGGTCAGAGACATGCAGGGCTTTAGCGGTTTTGGGGTCGGAATCATTTTCGATACTTACTCTTAGTATTCCCTTTCACCCCGGGTAGGGGGAGTTTACCATATTGCCCCAAAACAACCAGTCAACCTGCATCAAAAACCATCTCCTTTCTGCAAAATCAAACCCGCAACGAGATCTCGCTCAATGCGCTGAAGGCTTTCTGCCCTTGTCGTTGCGCCAAGCGGGGTCGTGAACGCTGCCCAGGCTGGTTGGACCTGGCTGAATGCCGTTGCGTCCGTAATGTAGAAGATAATTACCAATACTGTTTTGGGGGTCCTTATTATAATTATAGTATAATGGGACACAAAACGCTATTCTAATTATTAAGGCCCCTATATTAGACGGGGTCAACTATACCGTGTTGTGTTTCTCTGTTGTGGTACTCCGCTGCAGTACAGTCATGTGGTTTGCATCTGCAAGTTGCCTGGTAAGAAATTCTTGATTCTTCCTACATGTTTCCATCATCTCAAAACACTGGCAACGCTAGGCAGCGGTGGCAGGGTTGTGCTTTGGGTCGAACGAGCCAAAAGAGCAATAATCCAGATCAGCGCATACAGTTCTATGGGACTGTGACTGCATCTGTAAAGCAATCAGCCGGCATATGGTACGTAATTGTCAGTAGACATGCATACTGATTGCGTGGAAAAGCATGTCCATAGTAGAAGAGAGAGAGAGAGAGAGATATATATATATATATATAGAGTAGAGAGAACAGCGAGAGACAGACAGAGCTGTAACCCGGAGGTGGCAGCAGAAGCGGTGTATGGGGCCTTCGAGGAAAACAGGCCCTGAGCCGGAGTGGGGGGCGTGCAACAAAGGGCCCATTCATGGGTTTTGGGGCCGAAAGGTCCAGGTTTAGGGTTTCGGGTTTCGGCGGGGCTCTGAGCAATTGCCCCTTAGCCTTGACCCCGACAGCGACTTTTCCAAGCGCCTGTAACCCTGAAGCCTCCCTAAAGCAGCAGAAGCCACCCAGAAACCTTGGAAGGTGTCATGAGATGAAAGGACCATGTCTGAACCGAACCCACCTGAAATTGATACTATGCTCCTTAGTTGAGAGCGTTGGGGCTTATGCACGGCCCTGAGGGAAATCCTCAAGTCCGCAAGCTGGCATGCCGGACTGCAGGCAGCTTTGTGACCTGGTTCAGAAAGCGCTGGGCCCTGCGAGCTCGCAAGTGAGCGAGCTTTGCCAGCCTCTTAGCATTCACAAGTCTGAGCTAGCTGAAAGGCTACACCATGAGACGGCTCGGCGTCTTGTTGCCACAAAACCCCTGAAACGTTCGGGTGTTGAGGTGCCGGGAGCAGATGCCGCGCCCGGTGGATGGCCCGGGGCTCAGACACTTCGGGCTTGCTCCGCGCGGTGATCTCTAGGTTGGCTCTTGCAAGTTGAGTAGCAGCATAAACCCATAAACCCTGGGATGCTTCGGGGCTTGGGTTTTTTGCGTCCCAGGACGGCAACTACTACGATGCAACCATCCACACTGTGCTGCCCGACGGCGCCAGCCTTGGGGATCCGCCTGGGCACTTGAAGACACGAAGAATTCTAGTAGTAGAACAAAGGTGGTAGTTGTAGTTACCGGTTCAGGTACTGTAACTTAGAATCGATATGGGTAGTTCGCTAAATTAGGGTCGCTTCTAGGGTCCTTTTGGATAAAGGTGCCGTATGTTGGGGAGACCCTAATTTAGAAAGCTGCCCATATCCTAGCTGTTCGTTCATGACTTTGCAGGCATCGAGATTCATTCTGCATTCAAGCAACTCTCCCGAGACCGGACATGAATGGTACGGTTGATGATATCCTGCATTACCTATGATAAGGAGTATACTATAATTCCCATAGTTTAGGGCCCTTAAGGTAATGCAGGATTTATATCATCAACAGTAGGAGTGGCCGGGGGGTCCCTGTTGAATGGTGCGCACATGCTCAACCCGAAACCCCGAAGTTTTCATGAAGCGGTTTGGTCCTTGACCTCAGATCTCAAATAAGTGCAGCACCGGCTGCGGAGGTTGGCTCTATCTCGACATTATGGCCTGATTGCCATGTTCCGATGTCGAAGAGCAGACGCGTTTGCGTGGCAGTGTCATGCCCGACTTACCCGACCAGCTAAATACACTCCGACCCGTGAGCTCTGAAGGGTCATCATCTTTTTTTTTGAGGCTCTGTGGTGGTGAACTGGCTGCGGCCGCGGCCGGGACACGACAGCAAGGCCACGTTGAGTCAAAGACTGGATGATGTCGCTCCGACTGATGAAGATGAAGATGACGATCATGGGTGCGGTAATGACGATGATGACGATGATGATGACGATGATGATGATGATGATGATGATATGATGCTGATGATGATGATGATGACGTGGTTTATGACGGAGACGAGGATGCTACGCATTGATGCTAGTTGCAAAGCCCCGAGGTGGCGACGACGACATAGCTGTGCACGTAGCAAGGGCAGTGCTGTGTCGTACCTTCGTACACTCCAGGAGCTCCACTTTCTGCACAATGGCGATAGCGCTGTCATGCCGGTAGGAATTGAGAAGCTCAAAAGCGACAAGATCGCGAACTGCTACACACCTGCCCCTGCTGTGACGACGGCTACCACCAACACTGATGTTTAGCATGAGACCATTCACCCTTGCCGTAGCAAGAGCGGTATTCGGAACAGCAGGGAGAAAGCTCACGAGAATCAACAGTAAGATTATCACTGGCACGACATACAGCATGGTCAGAAACCAGGAATTAAGCTGACAACGCCAAGTGACAGAACAGAACAGTAAGTTATCCAATCAGGAAAACAGTTTCCCTTAAGCCCTCAAACCCTTAAAACCTAAACACACAACCCTAAACCGTTAGCCACCAAACCCAGAACCCTAAACCCCTAAACCCCCTCAACCCTGATCAGGAGCGGCCCCTTCGGACCATTAGTGGCGTGGGCGGCGACGACACTTTGCATCGGATCCTTCAGAAGGCCGGCGGATAAGATATGGATCCTACGGGAAGACATCCTTAGATGCTGGGGTTGGGGGTACTAGTATACTATAATTATAATTAGGAGCCCCCAAAACCCTATTCTAATGATTAAGGCCCCTATATTAGCCTAAGCCCCAAACTGCGAAAGCACGTCAAACCGCCAAGAGCAACCCGTCTGTTGCAGGAAGGCGATACGATGATATGAAGACAAGAGCTTGAAACATCCAAAAGCCTTGATAGCATGTTACGGCCCCCGATTAATATAGGGGCCTTCATAATTCGAGTAGGGTTTTGGGGATTCCTTCTTATGATTGTAGTATAATATACCCCAAAGCCGCCTAAACGCCCAAGGCCACTAAGTAGAACCTTTGCAGAACCCGTTTAGAACTTACATAGAGCCCTTATAGAACGTGTATAGAACACTTATAGAACCCTCATAGACCCCTATAGAACGGTTACAGACTCCTCATCGAACACCAATACAATCCAAACAGCCTTCATAGAACCCTTATAGAACCACTACCTGAACACCATATTCTCTACCGTTTAACTTACATGAGGAAATCTTAATACAGAGCCCTGATAAGGTAGGATCTATAGGGCCCGGGGTTGCCTTGGCCACACTTTCGGGTTCAGAATTCAGGGCAGGGATCGGAATAATTACTTATAGTATTTCCTTATAAGGTTTCTATATATATATGTAATATGAGTATATATATATATATATATATGTGAATATATATATATA